GGGGGGGGGGGGAGACTAAAAGGAAAAATAGCAGTTTGTATGTTGGAAATTAAACAAAACCAAAAGTAGGACAGGGATCCAAAGGAAAGCAGTGAAAGAGAAAAATGTGCTGAAAAGAATCGGAAAAAAAACCTACTAGAGGTAAAGTACTGGCTCTGTCAAAGTCAGTGGCAGGTTTACCACTGATTTTGAAAAGGCAAAGATTTGATGCCAGGAAATGAGAAGATGAAAAATGAATATTTTGAGGACCTGAGAACCAGAATTAGAAGCAACCTGTACGTATTTACTGAACTTATTTCCACAGATTCCACATATAATGAACATATTTCCGCAAATACAAAAGAACATTTTTCACAGATGTGGCCTAAATGAATCTAACATTGATCAATAGATACTGTTACAGGTGTGGAAGCTGATATTGGTAGATAATTAGGATAAATGACAAATACATTCACCTCTCTGAACAGCTTACTACTCTTAGCAAAGACCCCACGTTTAATAGCTTAGCAAAGATGATCGATGGTACAGGTGTGGAAGCTGATATTGGTAGATAATTAGGATAAATGACAAATACATTCACCTCTCTGAACAGTTTACTACTCTTGGCAAAGCTTAGCAAAGATCATCGATGGTAGTAAACCTCCTGTTACTGCTTAACAAGAAAATAAAATTTTTAGAAATCAGGAAAAATCCTGAATCTTAAATTGCATTAAAGACTTCATACACTTTTGAATTAATCAAGTATAAACATGAAGTTGCTGCAACATTTTCTCCTACGTTTTATTAACTCTTTTAAAGTTACCTGAAGACTACTACTAGAACTGCTAAATATTGTGTGCTGTATGTGGTTTCTTGGAGGTGATAGATCTTGGAGAACAACTTCCGCAATTAGTTTTGTACTACACATAAACTAAGACTTTTGACTCAAAAATTCTCATGAAATTGAGAGATATGAGAGCCATAAAAATATTCCCATCTTCAAGCCTCCATGTATATCACAAGGGAAGGTTTCAGGGGAGCAGCAGATGTTTGCCACCTTCTCAGCTGTTCCGAATCAGTCTTGTCTTTAGCTGTAACTGGAGGATGAACTGTGGTTATGAGGAATCAGTATTCATGCCAGTAAATTCTGTGAGACTGAATAAATCATAATTTATCAATCACCCACATGGTTTTGACTCTTTACTTGGGTTCCCTTAGATTTATAGTTGTTGGGTATTTGTGTGTCAATAATGCAGTCTGCCTTGGGTTTCAAATGACCATACACTGTATTTTGTTTGGAGGCAAGAGAGGCAAAATCAGTATTTTTTACCCTTCTTCACTGCCTAGGATCTTTACTCAGGAAAAAATGTGCCATAAAAATAATGGTTCTGTCTATCATGTCTCTTGGCATCCAAGGCTAACGTGCTTGAGGTTGACATTACTGCTCAAGTGTTCACCTAAAACAGATGGGCTGATACTGTAAAGTTAGATAGAAGTCTAAGCCAGTGTTTTGCAGTACGGAGGCACCAAGCACCTTTTTCTTGTGGTTTATACTACTGTGAAAAATACTGTGAAAAGTTAATCGTACATTAAAGCCACTCTGACAATGGCTGCTTAGGGCACATGCAAGAAATCTGCCTATTGAGTAACCAAAGAAAATTCGAAGAAAACTCATGCCCCTGGAGAACTACGTTACCATCTTACCAGTTGTGATAATTACGGTTTCTTAGTTTTTATTGGTGTAACTAGGGCACTTGTGCATTTTATATCATAACAAAATAGATTTTCAATGTCAAGCGATATTATCCATCTGAGCCCCCCTTACATGTCCTTTAAAATCCCAGCTATAAAAATATCTAACCGGGTCTGTACTTAACCTTTCCTCAGGTAAATGCATGCAGAAATGCCAAACTTCATCTCCTGTAAATCCGAATGCCACTTTGCAGTCCTCAGGGGTGACACCAACACCATGTGAAGGGAAATGGGAGGGTCTAGCATTTCAGTCCCCAAAGAATAATCCAGTAATTTTTAATCAGACCATTCAAGAAGTAACACAGACACAAAGAATGGCTTTAAGATAACAGGCCACTGTTTCAATTGTTTAAATAACATCCTTTCTCTGTGCTAGGTAGGAACCTGCAAGCAAGAAACAGCCCACTGGGTCATAGTGTACCTGCAAAAAACACCGTGGGGAGATGGGGAGAACAGGATTTATTTAACGTATGCTTGGGAGGGCTGTAGTGGTCTCCACCCGATGTCCCCAAGAGCCTGATGTCCCCTGTCAACTAGATGCTGAGGACAGCAGCAGTTTCAGATTGTTTCAGAAGTCGCAGAAGTTATTAGGAAAACCAGTATGTACTCCCAACCTGCTTACTCAGTCCTCTGAAGCTCTGCAGTGGGATAATGTCTAATAACGCACTCTCCACACATCACTTTCACTCAGTAATTATTATGATCTCCTCGGCACAATCCTTGTACCTTCATTTTTCTGCAGTTAACAGTGGGAAAGCAGTATTTGTATATATGATTTTCCCATAGAGAATTTTTTTTTTATTTTAGTTAAAGTTTAATTTAATTATAAATGCAAACAAATGTTCTGAAAAAGCCTATTTACATTGCAGAGATTGACTGTGCAATCAGTTCTTGTACAGCCCAAATACTTAATGGCTGTTTCTTCCCGCTTGCTCTGCCATTGTGTTACACCTACATTTATGGGCTATAAATAATATGTATCACACTGAAAATTAAAGATCACAGAAGACACTCTAGGCTGGCTGCCATATCAAAGTATTTTTTATTAGAATAATTATTAATTAGAATATAGCAAAGCTTTTTTTGGCTCCTTTTCCTATGCTGTTAATGTCATCTGCAGCATCAAAAATGAAGAGAGAACTGGTGAATATGAAAGGAAAACAAACTAACCATTGACAAGTTTATCATTAAAGAAGAAATAAGAACAGTAAAAATCTAAGACAACCCTTGAAATTCTAGATTTTTGGGGATGAGGATGGGTTTACAATAAAAAACATACCTTGTATTTTTTTAAGTTCTCTGAATATACTTTGTGTTTCATTCTCATTTCTTGAAGTAGGCAGGTCTTGAAGAGGGCTTTGACCTTGCCAACACGAGCATCAGCAGAACAAACTACCTTATTTACTTTATCCCTTTCACAGAGTTTTCTTTTACTATAAAAGTCTATTGATATCATACCTTTTTTGCTTCTGTGCAACAGGATTATCTTTTATCTATGATTTATTTTCCCATTAAGAGTTGAAAAGATCAGTTGATCATAAGAGGACCAGGCTATAACATCTCTCAGCACTTTCAAAAGTCTAAGTCATCATTTTTCAAATCACTGAATCAAGGCAGTAGAAGCTGTTTGGACCAAAGTGACATCAGGAAATTCATACTTTTCTTAGTCTACAGGCACTGAAAGAATGTTGGTTTTAGAAACTAAGCTAGCGGTCATTCAATATTTCTGGCTGAGAACCTATGGTAAAGGCTTCTATAACAGCCAGAGACATTAGACAGAGATGCCCATTCTTCTTATGCTTTCCATACTATTGGTTAGGTCTAATAGTTGCAATCTTAAAAAAAAAAAAAATATGTACTTGGCAATTCTTTAGAGGTTTTATGAAATAATCTGGAGGACTTTTACTGATTTTAAGCAAGCTCCACTAAGTTAAAGCCATTACACACATTTATGAGGATATTCTTTTAATTCACACCTGTAGGAAAAGGGATAAGGTACTGCAAATGGATCTGTTAAGCCATGTAAAGTGTGCTGGCAGTTCCAGGGTTTGAGGATGCTACTGAAAAGATCAATTGTTTTGACCCAAAGTCCCAGGGTGGGGCTGACGTGGGCACCGGGCCCGTGGGCAGGGGTAGGGGAGTCCCAGGTGGGGCTGTTCAGGGCCATTAAGGCACCACTGTAGGAAAGTGGGGACAGGTGGGAGATGCTTTTCAAAAAGCAAGCTTCTGGCCTCATAAAAATGCTAACAGTAAGGTGGAAAGTGCATGAGAAATTAAAACAGAACAAGGAGAGGCTTTTCATCTGTAAGGGTGTGAGTTTATAAGTGTGAATTTGTGATGTGCTCTCTGCTCTGATTGAACCCATCGTGTTGATACATAATGTGATATAATGGGGTAAGGACCTTCTTTGTGTTAAACTTTATGGGTTCCCTGTCCTGCTTGCACTTGTCTGTTCCAGCAATGCTCAATTGCCCTCTGTTCTTGAAGACTAGAGATACCTTGGTGAGGAGGTAGAAGCTTACTTCTTTATACCTCCTGTGCTAATCTGCTGGGTAGCTGGAAAGGCATTACATTTCTACAACTGTCAAACAAGCAATTTTCATGAGTACTAAATTAACTGAAAAAAATGGAGCTATAAAGGGTTCATAACACATTGCTGAAACACTAGAATTCTATCCTAATGCATATATGTTCAGGGAAACTAACCGTAGAGATACAAATTTCAATACTTATTGGATCATTCAGTAAGTGTTGGTTCATACATAATACAAGAGAGTTCCTAATTGTCTTTATATCCAATGCTTTGTTTGCAAAATGCTTGGTATTTGCTGTACAGATGACCTTTGCATCCCGTTATTTCATTTGGAATACCTTGTGCGTTAACTGCGAAACACCACGTGCCGT